TAGGCTAGTGAATATGGGCCCTTACCATGGATAATGATGGTTGCCCAATACCACAAGATGCTCGATACGTTGTTTGGATGCTTCTTGTAATCAGTACGGCCCATGACGGCATCGAATATCAAGCCAGGGTCAGGCATTGCACCCAGCGTGACAATCCGAGGCTTGACTGATCTCGCATATGCACCGCCGGCGGCACCCAGCTGAGGGAACATTGGGTTCTGGTAGAATGTTAGTACGTTATGGGTTTAGCTGTAAAATGACTCAACTGACGTTGTAGGATCCATCCGCGCGCCGATACTTATACTCATCGCCCATGTACAACATGGGTGGGTGTTCAAGAGAGTCCCAAAGCTCTTTGATGAAAGTATTCGTCAGTTTCTCGCGAAGTTGAGAGTTATGGGGAAGTTTGGCCACGATCTGGATGGTGCGCTCCATGATCATAGTCTTGTCATCCTGGATCTTCTCCCTCTTGATCTTGGATTTGATGATCTGCACAAGGGTTTTCACGTCTGTCTCGGGGTTTAGCGGGAACAACTTCAATTCCTTTGGTGTCACGGAACTGACCTGCCGCCTGCAGCGCCCGAAGGTTTTGGACCATTGTCGGCCGAATCAGCTCCTTAGGATAAGTCCCATCACCATTCTGGGTAGGTAGTGGCCGTTTGGATGCCTCTCGTAGCGCTGAGAGACCGCTCTTCTTCTTGACATCATGAGAACCATATCGGGCGGATGCGCGACTTGGTCCAGGCTGCTTTTCATTACTGACGGGGGCCCCTTTACCGGAGACGGCACTGGAGTGCTCAGACTCCCCGATATCAGGCCTTCCGAGGCTCCCGTTTCGATGGGATTTCATGGTATACTGAGAGATAAACGTGTCTTCGAATACGTCTTCCCGACGGAAATTTGCGAACACTCGCGGCTTCTCGCCAGGGTTTGGTCTTCCTATATAATTTCCAGACGGTCATTCACCATTACACACTAATCTTAAATTGCAGCGTGACGTGACCTGTTCAATGCTTCTTGGCAGCCGATTCTTCTGCCCTTTTTGAGCATGCGAGCTTGGCTGGTGGGAGCTTACACCCAGCCGTGACATACCGATAGCTTCGGCCTGTCTTGGGTCATGTCTTGGAATGTCTCACATCGGCTGCACATCGGCCGGGTGCACGCCTGCAGCCGTCCACGACGATCCCGTTCGGCAACAATAGGTTGCGGCACTAGGGGTCTAATTATTCAGCCCGATTGACGATCATTTTCCGTCCCAAAGAATTACCAGGGGAATCTCCGGTCTTGCTTCTTTTTGAATTCCACTAGAGACTGGGTTGCTAAATTCTCCGCATCCACCGGCAATTCCTTAAAACGTACGACAGATGGTGCTGAAGAAGGGTGGCGTGGTTTGGTATTGAATCTTTGGGCCTCAATCACACAGTTGATGTGGCAAGCTTCGTGTATGCTGTGCTATATTCCTGAAGCCGCCTGCTTCTGCACTAGATCGGTTCGTTAGTTAGTTTCTGTTCCTCTACATCTCACTTATCTCGTGTGATGTGGGCGGCAAGGGAGCGAGCATTGTGTTCGACCCTGTCTCACGTTCGAATTGCATTGACAGAAGCAACAACGATTTTGAAAACTTTTCACAATGTCAGTCATGTCTTGAACACTCTACTTACAAATTCAACAGGAAGGGTCCAATCCCAGGTGATGTCCCAACCAAGCCCAAAGATTCTCTCGCAAAGTTGTCAGACTTAGTTGGCATTTAGATGTGGCTGATTGATGATGTCTTATTCGATGACATATTTGCAGGTACGCCTCGACGGCATCGTGAGAAGCCAAGAGGACAACGGTTCTGAGACCAATCTATCGCGCTGGCGTATGCTAGCACCACTTCGGGTATTAACTTTCGAGCGCCAACGTGCTCTTTCTCACGGATGATACATCCCCCCCCGTATCTTGAGTTGAGTATACTTGTCTCGGTCACAGCTGAAAACGATTGCGCTAAGAACGCCTCAACTGATCTATCAGTTGAATTAACTGCATTTTACAAACTTCCCGAATTTTGACTGCTGATTGTAGATCTGTCTTAGATACAACTACCAAGCCGTGAGTTGTTTCACGGCTGAGATGCAGATCAATTCCCATCATGATCGACACCCTCGTTCTGTTAATTTGGTTGGTTGAGGGATAGACGGTGAGGAGACATGGAACTAGTGTCACACCGGGCTTCATTGCACTACACAGCCGTGTTTCCCGAACCAGTGAAGTTTTACTCCCCCTTTACCGGCCGAGGCGATAATTGAGAATGCTAAATGCATCCCGCCGTCATCCGCTTGCATGCAGGCCAGCGCAAAACGTACAAGACCGCCAGACGTGGCATCTCTATTCAAGGGGTTGTGGAATGTCGGTCGCTTTAACGGAGATATCATCGGGTGGGGTCTACCATTGTATATGACAACGTATCTTTCGCACTCCCTTCGGCTGGGCTGTCGTGCGCTGTCTTCGCCCCTTTTATCTTCTTTGAACCAGAAAAGACTTGTTGCCAGTTTGGCCCAAGTGCTATGCATCCTCACCTCCTCAATTCTTCCAAACAGCGGGGGGGTAACCCCAGAATGAGCGCAACAGAGCCGGGCGATCAAACTGGGAATGGGGCATATCGAGAAAGCCAGCAACGAGGCCCTCGAAGAAAACTCATTCTCTGCTTCGATGGCACCGGCAATAAGTTTCGAGGTGATGACAGCGACAGTAACATACTCAAGATTTTTCGCATGCTCGACAGCTCAGCCGACGACCAATGTAAGGGGATCCATACAGGGACATACAGAATGATAGCTATTGGTTACTGACCATCTTAGATCATTACTACCAACGTGCGCTTATCAATTCTTGATCCCTTGAGAAAACAAGTAACAAAGACACTAACCGCTGCATAGCCGGAATTGGAACATATGTCGTGTCGGAAAATCTGACTCACAACGGCATTAGAGCAAAATGCAAGTCCTGGTATCAGATGGCCAAAGACTCCGCCGTCGGCTCCTCGTTCGATCAGCACGTCGTCGGGGGCTATCGGTTTCTGATGCGGTATTACTCTCCGGGAGACGATATTTACATGTTTGGCTTTTCTCGAGGGGCCTATGTTGCCAGGTTCCTGGCCGAGATGCTGGACTTTGTCGGTCTCCTCTTGCATGGCAATGAGGAGATGGTTGCCTTTGCGTGGAACGCATTTTCTCAGTGGCAATGCCGCCGAACCAACTCCACCCCGAAGGGCAAGGAGGAAAAGGAAAAGATGTATCAGTTTCTCAGAGGTTTCAGAGAAACCTTTTCCCGGCCGATCCGACGCATCCGTTTTCTGGGACTTTTCGATACGGTGAATAGTGTTCCCCGCTTCGAGACGGCATGGATGCAGCGTAGCAAGTTCCCATACACTGCACGCAGCTCTGCCAAAGTCATTCGACATGCAGTCAGCATTGATGAACGTCGGGCAAAGTTTCGGCAGGATCTGATATACCAAGAGCCCAAGAAGTGTCACAGGAAGAACGCCGCCAAACGGATGATAGAGCATCAGCCGTTCAACGAAAAATTACAAGAATATCAAGAAAAGTATCGCCCTGGCCGGCGTTCAACGCTCGCTCCCGACGACGCCGTCGCCGCGGAAGATCGTGGGAGGAGGCACCATCATGAAAGGCAGGAAGACAACGCAGACCATCCTGCTCCCTTTCGCAGCCGTTCCAGGTCTAGATCCAGAGCAACTGATCCCTCACATTGCGCGCACAAGGACCATGATGGCTCATCTGTCCATTCTAAGCCACCAATGGAAGACCTGTCCTACGACTCCGATGACGACGAAGCCGACCAAAATGTCGACGAAGTCTGGTTCGCTGGCGGTCATGGCGACATCGGGGGCGGCTGGGACGCTGTCGCAGGTCGCAAGAATGCCAGCCATATTCCCCTCGTTTGGATGGTCCGAGAAGCCATACGAGCAGGGTTGTCTTTCGACGTCGAGCAACTCGAGTACTTGGGTTGTATCGAATCAGTAACAGCACCTAGCCTACAACGTACACCGGCATCTCCCATGCCTCAAGATGTGCCCGGAGTCCCAGAAATTCATGTTGACGCCCCTTCTCCGCCGGTCGACTTTCGACCAGAGTCCCCAAATGGCTCGACGACAGAGAAAACAGACGAAAACTCGGACGCATTGGCACACACCTGCACGACGACGCCTTTCGCCGAGATGATGCGGACCGCACATGAGGCGGAAATCCACGATTCGCTTGATTTCGCATGCGGCATGCATCGTGTCAGCGTCTTCATGTGGAGGGCGATGGAATACCTTCCCTTTCGAAGACTCGACTTGAGACCCGATGGCAGTTGGAAACCTATTAGGTGGCCGTTGCCTCGCGGGGAAGTTCGCGACATCCCTGACAAAGTCAGAGTCCATGGCAGCGTTATCCGGAGAATGAAGAGAGACGAGAAGTACAGGCCGGGTAATCTGATCGTTGGTGGCGGTGGTAGAGGATGTAGAGTGGCGCCGAAAAAGTACGGAATGGGAGATTGGGTATGTGTCAAGGGCGAAGGAGACTTAATCGACGAGGTCTGGGTGCGCAGGCCCCAGCATAAGGAGAATGAAGAGTCTCACGCCTGACAGATTAGTAACAGGCTAGGTCTAGTGATATGTTTGGGTGGGAGTCGGATACAATGGTGATCATAAGATCCTAATAAACAAGTGAAGAGGACGGAATACCCTGCGCAGAAGGCCCCTTCCATTACTTTCGAGGAACTGGCTCTTCGTCCGGTATGGCAACAATACAGACATTATGAACCAGAGAAACAAATGATTAGACTTTATTCTATGCTTATAACTGATTACAATTTACAAAACGCTGACTGTAATCGAGATGGTGTGAGCGGCCTTACCATACATGTGGTGGTCCGCTCTGCAGTCACAACACATTGTCCTATGTTCAGTCCCGAGGCTGATCTGCCCTGTAGTCGGTCATGCAAATGGAAAACCGAAACTCGTAAAATAGGGCTGTGAGAAATAAACTCTGCATATTGTCTATGTTATAACTTCCGGCGCAGACTCTTTCCACTCCCGGAACCACTTCGGATAGAATTTGTCAACTTTCCATGCCATACCGTCAAGCCATTCTTGCGCAGCAACCAGGCGTTCCTCAGCCTCCGCCAATTTCATTCTGGCCATCGTTTGCCGGGTAGGTATCTCAGCCAAGGTTTCGAGATCAGGAGCTCGGTACTCGAGCTGCACCTCATCCAAGAGAGCGATGTTCCGATCCAAGGCTTGCTTCATGTTTTCAAAGGTCATAGACAAGCATCCCAATGCCTTTGCCGGAACAAGTCGTTGCTTCATTTCCTGGTCCCATAGCATCTGTTCCTTGTCCCGTAATAGGTTGTATCTGCCATATTTGTCGAGAAAATCGGTATTCTTGGCGAGGAACTCGTTCAAGTTGCGTCGAAACTCCTTCGTCTCACATCCTTCGACCGCTGTATTGTTCCAGAGCCTGAGCTTCTCGTCGTATCCCACCTTGGCCCCCGCGGCGTTGTCCAAGTCCTGCACCATGAGCTTGCAAAGTTCGACGTCGTTCTTTGCGGCGTTGCGGGCGTGCAACGCGCGTGCCTTGCACTCTTTATAGGCCAGGGCACGCTTGGACAACTCTTCGCCAGTTTTATTTGCCCCATGTTGCTCTCCGGTCTGTCCTGAGCCTGGTGGGTTGGCAGTGGTGGCACGAGGCTGCAATTTCGTAAGGTGTTAGATTGGCGTCGAACAGATGATTGTGGGCATGAACGGTACCTTTGTGGCTGCATTTACTGCGGAACTAGTCTGTGTCTTGCTTGCAGCAGCCTTTCCTGCTTGTCAATGCTGCATCATAAACGTATAGATGGGGTTGGAGACGGCAGCCTACATTCGTTTTCATCGTCGCCTTTTTCTTCTTTTTTGAACTGGGCGGAGGCCTCTTGGCGTAAGAGATGGACTTCGGGTTCTATGACGAAGTATCGGCAGGCTGAGGATAAATGTTTGTAACAAATGGTCATACCTTTCTTTTCGTACTACTTGTGGAAACAGCAGCGACTGACTTTACACCAGCGGGCTATAACGACATGTCATTATCTTAAGAACTCGACTGGTCATCGGAGGGCCAATTGGGTACCTTATCGGTCTCGGTAGGTGGAAGGACAACCAGCGATTCATCCGATGCGTTGGACTCGGAATCGTCGTCAGCCTCGGAGTCGGGCACTTCGGCGTTTCTGTCCCTACATGGACTGTCCTCTATCGACGGGAGAATAGTACAGTCCTGATCGTCAACCACGTCGTCTGTCGTATGGGTCATGATACTCGCGTTGGCGAGAGCCGCCGCTGGTCTGGCGGATCGACGTAGACCAGCAAGCTTGCCAAAGGTAGTTTTGTTACGAGATGCTGGAGCCGTGGCGGGCCGGCGCAGAGGAGGGGGAGGGGGAGTAGCCGAAAGACTTTTGCGTCTGTCTCTGTTACGATTTGCAACTGTCGGGGGCATCCTGATAGGAACCTTTTCACATCAGCGTGCTCAAATAAGACCAAGCAAGGACCATGAACAGAAACATAATTAAACCACTGAGGGGCTGCAAGTGAACCCTGTTTTCTTGTTTCTAGCTCAGGTGTTCAGGCACTCGTGTACACAAAATTGCCACGGCATGCTGCTTCAGTATTGACTACTTGCATCATCGGCAGTTTTTGTCAAGTGGCCTATGATACCTATGTGGGCATGGGATGTACTGACGATATCTCCGGAAATCCCAAGTGGCGTGGTTATATTCTGACCTAGTGACCGCTCCCCAGTGATTACTTGTTTTCTTGGCGCCTACCGCTGGCCCACGATTTATGCGTTCCGTCGACAACAGCAACTTTGTTTCCAGACTGCTGCTTCTTTAGAGAGGAGCACGGGTGGCTTTAGATGCCGCATCATATACATGCCCTCGTGCCCGCGATACAGCCTTTCAGGTTTTCATCTCGCGACGTCCAGGGGTGGGTAGTACCAAGACGTCAGATACGAAGAAACAGGGGGCTGTGTAGTACAACCCAGCGATTCTGCGGTGGGAGTCTCTTTCGGTCCGTTTCTTGGTGCGGAGTCCATCACAAAAGAAAGAAGAAAAAGAAACGATGATTTCCATTGCGACGTCCATTGAACAGCACAGCCATTCTCCCTGAGTGCGCATGCAGGAGTGCTAGTCAGAACCATGTGTGCGGGTTGAATATTTTTCCCAAGCCAGTCCATCATCAACCGGCAGGAGACGTCAAAGATATAACATTTGCATTATTTCATAGTCCATCTCGCTCCAATATAATGCTCAGTCAATATCAGAAAGGATTCCTGGAGAAATTAAGGACATGTGCATAGTCAGACAGAGAATAATCATGCTGTGGGGATACGACGTAGAAATCAGACAGACCCAGAAACAAAGCGTCCAACAGACTGCAAACTACACGATAAACGAAAGCACAAACTATAACTGAGCGTCACGAAATTGTGGAAAGAAGCATGCACACTTGTTTCACATCATACTGTTGAAGCCAAACTCTTGCAACCCTTTCTATAGCAGGTGCTCCCGTTGGAGCTCGACTCGAATTCATTCTTTTTCCGCTGCTCAAATATATATAAATATTTTAAAAAGAAACCCCTTGGGTGCAAACAACAAAGGACATCTCGCAATGTGGGCCGCACGCATTTTGACTTCCTAAGTTCTTGCACCCTCTCGAGTTACCCCTGCAACCGTTGCGCCTACTTAAGTGGCACGCGGCCCTATTCCCGCAGCCCTGTTCCCGCGGCCAAACGCTTCATTTTAGCCATGGCTTCCTCGAGGGCTTTCTGGAATTTTTCTTTCATCTGGCGTTCTATCTTGACTCGTTCGGCCTTCAGGACCATGGGGCCCACGCTAATGACCGATTCGTTATCGGTCTCGTCGCTCGGATCGGGAGATTCGTACGCGCGTCGCTGCCGCTTGGCCGAGCTTGACTGCTTGGACATGAGAACTGCGCTGGAACTCTTTCTCTTTTTGGGCCCTGTTGACGGCGTGTTCTTTGGGGGGCAGATCATTAGGGAGGTTTGCACGGAAAGGGGGACGTTGTCGGTCATGGCATACCTTGTTCTTGTTCCTGCAGGGTGTATAGTCCAGGCTGACGGCCTCGTGATTGGATGGTTGCTCGAGTGCTTTCTGTCCAACAATACATCAGCACGTTATACATGGTTAACGCGGGGCAATGACGCCTTACCACGTCGTTGATGACTGCTTGGATGTCCTCGAGCAAGAGATGAGGCTGGACAAACCTGACTCTACTGTTGAGTGATTTATTGAGGCGATCATTGAACTTGCTGCTTAGAGCGTCTTTGAGTTCCGAGAGACTGAGCCCTTTCTGGCATAACCAGTAGATCCTGTTAAGGAACTGACTTCCCCATTCTGGAGGGGCGGCGAGAGTTCGGTCATGCAGAAGCTCGTTGAGGTTGTTGATCCCGTAATAGATGCATATCTGATCCTTGAGCCGACTCTGGTCTTCCGTACATTGGGAGCTCTGGTTCCTGGGTTCGGGCACAACAAGGGCATGCGTCTGAGGAGCGGGGTTGGTGAAAACATTGTTATTGATGGTGAGGCCGCTTTCAGATTGTCTTTCAGCTGGCGAGCTGCTCTGGATGGTGTTGCTGTGTTTCTTGCGGGTCTTCTTGCGGGTCTTCTTGCCATCGTGGTTACCGTTATTGCGATTACTGCCGTTGTTGCCGCCGTTGTTGCCGCCGTTGTTGCCGCCGTTGTTGCCGCCGTTATTGCCGCCGTTGTTGCCGTTATTACGGTTGACCCTGTTATTGTTCAGGTGATTACGGCTGTTGCGGTTATCACGGTTACTGCGTTTGATGTTGCTGTCATTTGACGGGCCGTTCAAGTTTGGGCCATTATTGTGTGATCTGTTGCTGTAAGGAGTTGTGCTGTTATTATTGGGGTCATTCTTGTCTCGCTGCGTTTTCCTCATTGTTGCCAAGTGACGCAGTCCAGATATGGTCGAAAGACAGAACGGGAGATGGGATGAGAGAGGGAAGGGGGGGGGGGGGGGGCGAGAAGAACAATAATATAGCAGGCTCAGCGGCACTGAATGGAAGATGGGATCGATTAAAAGAACAAATAGACAGAGGTTGACTTCAGCGTGCTTTATAATGGCCAGTCTGTGTGATTTCGAAGTTGTCGACGATGGCGTCGTCAGAGGGCAAACCCCAGACTGTGCCCTCCTGCAATGCAAGGCATCGCGAAACTGACGCGTTCGCGTCAAACCCTCTACTTCCCCCTCGTTCTTTCTTGTCTATGACACCGCTCGAAAGGGGTTCTCCACAGCCCTCCAAGGGCTAGACATGGAGCTTCTCAGACTCAAGGATCACAGCCAGTGAGAACACGTATCCTTGAGTTTGTGTGGAATAGCAGAGTACCCACCGAGCATTTCGAATGGCTGGGTACTTGACGGCCGACGTCGGTCAGGAAACCGTTTACCCAGCCGAGCTGATCGTCCCCCGAGCAGGCTCTTGGTGTTTTGGCATAAATGGACGGCCGCCACGGACTACGTGACCGTAGGCAATCTCTATGGCGTTCAGCCTCGTCGTTCTACGATAGATATGCGTTCATCTACGGACAGATAGAGTAGAGGATTTCCATGATGTTTTTCTCGCATCGTTGCCTCGCCACACCAACTCATTGGAGAGTAACGTGTGGGGTTGGACCCTGGAAAAAGAAAGCTGCGAATCCCGGGCAGGCTTCCTCTGCATCCCATCTCCGCCCCCCCTTTTCTTCCATGATCTGCGGGGCACCCATAGCGAGACAAGCTTCCAGAGCTGTGCAAAGCGTTATGTAGTTTAGATCAGACTGGAGGTTCTTGTATCGATTCTAAGAAAGGACGAGGTTAATCAATTCACAATGCCTGTGAAATGTGCCTTCTCTCTCAAGGGCCAACTCATATACAACAATACAAGAACATGGTGGGAAAACATCTGAGACCGGGCAGCAATGTTCGTAATGTCGCGAGGCAAGGCGCAAAGCAAAGTTCAGGTGGGCTGAGATGCTTGCGGCTTAGCGTCATTACTTCCGGCATCGGGAGACAAACAGAAGAAGCCGAGTGGCCAAACCACCATCACCGGCCAGGGAAAATGCACTCACCAAACAACCCTTGCGGTGGAGGTGGGAGGGGTATATTGCTTTTCTTCCGCATTTTGATGTTATCGAAGGCATCGTAGGGACCGCAGGTGAGTGGGGGTTCGGGTAGCAGTCATATTGAGAGTTACCCTGGACGCGACATTTTCGCGACATGTCGCGACATGTTCGCGCGTCGAGCGCGAGGATGAAGTGATGGGGGAGGATGGCATGTCCCACCTCTTGTTCCCTCTTGAGGACCGTTCTCTCTGCGTTGCGGTTTATCTCCCTTTCTTGATTTCTTCGTGCTCCTCGGGGCGCAGACATGTATCGACATTGACTCCGCGGGCGAGCCTGGCAAGATTAAACTTCTTCAAGACATGCAGGACTACCAGACGAGATCCGGTGTACTAAGATTCGGCAGCGCCTGCGGCTAGGACTGGTAGAGGCATGTACGCAGTCCAAACAATGCTGCCGCCGCCATGTCATCAACAGACCAGTAGGATCCAGCGGGCAAAGCTGCTTACGCAGCATGTCCTCATCTCGCGGTGCTTGGGATTATTAATTAGCAAGAGCATGGCCTCTCGGCGTTCAGCTTGCGGTTGCGGGTAAAATGACGGCCGCCTCTTGGTAAATTTACGGCCCTCTTACTGTATCTGATAAAGCCAACCAGATCAAGCAGGCATTTGCTACAGCCCTAGCCACAGATCCAGAACAACTGGAAATACCGTATTCCGTTACCCTAACTCTTGCTAACCCTAACCCTGGCCCTAGTCACAACCAGAATCCTAACCAACCCCAACCACTCTAATCATTCTAACTAAAATCTTCTCTATGGTTAGGGTGGTTAGGGTTGGTAAAGATTCTGGTTAGGATTCAGGCTAAGGTTAAGGTTAGTTGGGGTTAGGGTGACGGAATACAGTATCTCCAGCCGCCTCTTAGATTTTATCACAGGGTTTTGCAGGGTATATTCGGCGTTAATTGCTGCCCGCAATTAAAGGCGACAATTTTGCGATAGGTTTAGTAGGGGGCCGTGAAAATACCAAAAGGAGGCTGTTAATTTACCCGCAACCCAGCTTGCAACCGAGTGACGTGGTTCCAGGCAACTGCACAGGCATACCGATCGTCCACGGCGAACCGCAGGCGGTAGGACGGCACTCGAGCGAGCATTCTTCAAGACATCTGATACAAAGCCTTGTGGAACATAAACGCCTGTTATAGGGAACGACACTAACGCCGTGGTGCTTGGCCGGGACGGGCCGGCCGAATGGTGCCGGAGGCGGTTAGACCGGAGTTGGGCCGGTTTCGTCCGATGGCACGGATTTAGGTGTATTTCCATTCCCTCCTCGATTACAAAGCAGCGTTATTTTTCTGCGGGATCGTCTCTGCAACCCTGCGCTGTCGTTTCATCCCCTACAGCCTGCAGTGTGGCGGCACTAGGGGAGGAGGAACCTCCTCTCCCCAGAGGAGCGGCGAGCAGACGCCCTTCTCGCCGCCCAGCCGCGATGGGAATCACGCAATTAACTCGCACCATGACGAACCCGTCAATGAGCCCCAATTCAACTTGGTTTTCCATCGTCGATTTAAGCTTCTGGGGCCGTTGTCGACGGAAACGCCCGATTGGCCGTCTCTTGCGTGTGCTACGAGGCGATCAGTCGTCGTCTCTCATCAGCTCTATCTGGTCTAATCTGGAGAGGGGGGGGAGAAGGAGGATGTTGCCAGTGACATCTTCAATGCTTCACACGGCCCCCTCTATTTCTTTTGGAGCCTCGTTTTATGGTGGATTTCTCAGCGCCACGTTTCTCTTCCCCCTCCGTTAGCGGGCATCCGGGATTCGCTGCGGTGCAAATCCCGCCTGAGCCGCCTGTACGACCACGACTCGATAGCGGGCTTTTGCGTACGTGCGGCGGAGTATGAGACAAGGCATGGATGGACGAGCAAGCATTTCGCATTTGTCAGCGCGGCAGAGGATCTTGGTCGAGGCCCATCCGAGATGCAAGCGATCCTACTCCAAATGTCACTTGGCCCGTTTTTGTTACCTCTTGTGTCTGTCACTGAAGTGTGTCTGTTACCTCTTGTGTCGGTTACCTGTGCGTCTCCGTAGGTGTGTGTGCGTGTGTGTCACCCCCCCCTCAACTCTCCTCTCCCCTCCCTGTATGTATCATTTGCCTGTCAGAAGGAAGCCGGCGGTGCCTCGTGGAGGAACAAGAACCAACTCAACGTGCTCAGGTTAATCCTGGTGGCTTGGGTCATCTGATTATGGTGATGATGATGATGAAGATGATGATGAAAATTCCGCCTCCCCTATTAGATCCGGGACCAAAAAGGCCACACAACAAAAGTCCGGTGTCACGGCTACTACGTCGTATACAACCGGCAAGGACACATTAGTCAACCGAGACCCGCCCGTCGAACTCGACAGAAACGCCCGATCGCCGTCCCGCACCCACCCCACTCGAGCTCGTGTATCTGGGCTTGAGCTATCAGTCCCACCGCTCTTTCAAGGCCAAGTGCGAGGTTGCGTTCCGGACTACGTTTCCACCGGGTTCCCAGCTGTCTTGGGAGGGGTGGCAAGGACATATATAGCTCCATGACTTCCACGTCTTGACTGAAGAAGTTCACGCTCATCTACGAACAACACCACATACCCCCCCATATACAAATACAACCCGCGAACACCGAAACCGCAATCATGACTTACACTCTTCACGATGCCACCGTCCCCCTCCTCCTCTCGGGTCTCAAGACGCTGCTCAACCTCTTGAGCAAGGCCGAGGCCTATGCGGCGGAGAAGTCCATCGAAGCCGACTCGATCCTCCAGTGGAAGCTCGCCGACAACATCGACATGTTCCCCTTCTCGTTCCAGTACTTCGTCGCCACCGACTCCGCCATGAAGATCGTCTCTCGCGTCCAGGGCACCGAGCCCCTGGCCTGGGGCAAGGACTTTGCCGGCCTCGGCGAGTTGCGCAAGCGCGTCGAGGAGACCATCGCCTTGGTCGAGTCGGCCGACCCCAAGACCTTCGAGGCCCGCACCGACGCCCTCGTGCCCCTCGGCCTCGGCTTCGGCAAGGGCGAGATGCAGATCCGCGCCCGCGATTACGTTGTCGCCTACGGCATGCCCAACTTCTTCTTCCACATCCAGACGGCCTACTGCATCCTGCGCGCCAAGGGCCTCGACCTCGGCAAGGGCGACTACCTCAACCCTTTCATGGGCCCCTTCGTTGAGGCCCACCAGAAGCAGCAGCAGCAGTAAAACAGGGGGGAAAGCAAGCGTGGTGAGAGGAGGAAATCATCGTCACAGGATGACGCCCGGAGGGGATGTCTGGGATTGGAGCATGGAAGAATACCAAAGAAAATAAAGTATGAAGTAAATGAATTGAATAAGTCAGCAAAGCCGGATCCGCGAGTTGACGACACCCTCGTGAGCAGTGTACTAGTAGCAATGACGTTTGAGTTGCCCAACCCACATGGATTCCATGGTGTGACCCTAGCTGGTACATATGGCATCGACTCGAGGAGCTCAGAATGTGCATGTGGCTGCCCCGAAATGTCGTGCCATGACTCGCCGTTGACGATTGGTGTATGTTTATGAATGAGATGGATTCGTTTCAGGACTGATGAGTGCGACTATCTGAAGGAGAAGGACAGGGTGAGGAATGATGGAGCAAATATACCCGGGATGGGCTGTGTTCCCAAATCTCAAATTACCGTCCATCTTCATTATCAAAGAGGCGTCAAGGAACATCGTCAACATTGTCAACATCCTCATCATGAACCCCTCACTTGACGGTCGGGATGTGAGGATTCCAACCACGGTCGCAACTGTCTGTCTCTAGCCAATTAAATGCTTCAATTCTAGAGTACCCCGCCCCCACCATCACTGACTTTTATTTTATTTATTTTTATTTTTATTTTGTTTCCATCCTTTACTCTGCTAAGCACATTCACTCAAACTCACTCGCTCACTCATCGTCGGCTCATCGACTCATCGACGCGGCACCTTCACACTCACCTCCCGCGGGCTCATCTCACACTGAACACTTCACTCACAACTCGGCACCTCACTCATCCGCCTCGCACGAGATGGGCGAACCCAGCGAGGCCGAGGCGCTCGCCACGCCCGAGTTCTGGAACGAGCGCTACACAAAGTCAGACGGCTCGAACCCGACACACGAGTGGTTCCGCACCTTTGCCGCCCTCGAGCCCTTCTTCCAGAGGCACCTCTTCTCTCAGAGACCCCCGGAGTCGGCGCCGCGTATCATGCACCTGGGGTCCGGCGATAGTGTACGTTGCTCACTGCTTGCTCCCTTACTCACTAATTCCCAGTTCCCGTTGTTTCAACTTATATCACACACATACACACACACACACACACAGCTCCCCCAGCTCACACTGAACTCGTCTTTTACACACATACACACATACACACATACACACATACACACATACACACACACGCACACACGCACACACACACGCACACGCACGCGCAGGCGCGCGCGCTAACACCCCCAGACCATCCCCGCCGACCTCGCCGAGCGCGGCTACCGGAACCAGCTGTGCCTCGACTTCTCCACCGTGGTCGTCGACCTCATGGCTGCGCGCCACGCCGCCGTCGCGGGCGGCGGCATCGAGTGGCGCTGGGCCGACGTCCGCGACATGCCCGACGCCGCGCCCACGGGCTCCGTCGACGTCGCCTTCGACAAGGGCACCATGGACGCCATGATCCACGGGAGCCCGTGGTCGCCGCTCCCGGACGTCCGCGACAACACGGCGCGGTACCTGCGCGAGGTCCACCGCGCCCTGAGGCCCGGCAGCGGCGTCTTCCTCTATGTCACCTACCGCCAGCCGCACTTCATCCGGCCGCTGCTCGAGGCCGCGGGGGCGTCGTGGGACCTCGACATGGAGGTGCTCGAGGGCGGGGAGAGCGCGTTTGATTACTACGGCTGGGTCCTGTGCAAGAAGGCGGCGGACTCGTGAGGGGAGCGCGTACCAGTGGGAAGGGAGGTCAAGGGATTGGGTTTTAGATACCTCGGTTATAGACATGTACTTAGATTACGAATCATAGAGGAGTTGCGGTCTCATATTTCTGGGTCGGACTGGGCGGTAGCGACTGTAGAGGGAGACCAGTTGGGATTCCGGTCGATTCGAGTGAGGGATGGCGGTGTGCCGGACAGAGTTACCCTCATGGCCAACCTCGCGCTGGCCGAGTGAATGCTTGCGTCTTCATGTCTCTCTGTCTGGTTCCTGGTCATTGGCACCAGCCAGCAGTATTGAGACACTGGACGCCGTAGTTTCACTCATCACTATCACGGTCAGGAGGACGTTACACACATACCGATGGCATCAAAGACATATGTCTCGCACGTTCTCCCTGCTGTCCGTCTGTCTGTCTTACTACCTCGGCACCACTCTCCCTTACATTCCGAAAGCCTCATCTCGGGTCTCACCGCCAGTTTCAGAACCCCAGTACTCGGTTTGCCCTCTCAATCAGCTCTCGCTCGCCGCGCCCGCCGCCGTGTCCTTCCTTCTCCGCGGCCGGCAGCAGCCTCTCCAGCCCCATTGCCCGCCTTGCCTCCGCGCCCCGGACCGCCTCCTCCCCGGGCCGCCCGACGTGCTCGCTCTCCCCTTTACCGCCGGGGAAATCCGGCCCCGGCAGGCCCAAGCGGAAGGCCTCCCGCTGCCGCGCCAGGTATGCGACGTTAAGGTCCGTTGCCGGGCACACGGGCACGTACAGCACGCTCGAGTCCCCCGCGCCGCGGTGCACCGCGTCGACGGCGTGCACCTGGTCCCCGTGCCACGCGACGTAGTCTCCGGGCCGGATCCGCGGGACGTGCACCATCGTGCCGCCGCCGAGCCCCAGGTGCGGGTGCAGCGCGTCGCTCAGCTCCTGCCCGTGGCCCGGCGTCGCACCCTGCAACTCGCTGCTCATCGCCTCTCCGCCTGTGAATGCCCAGTTGTCCTCGGCCAGGAAGCCTTCGGCACCGTCGGCGGCCCCGGACGTCATCTCCCATACCTCCCGCCGCGGCCGGAAGAACGGCCGCAGCAGGAAATATGCCGTCGAGAGCCGGACGAGCGGGTTCACTAGCAGAGTACCCTCGCGCGGCCCGCACGCGCTCATGCTCAGCCACCCCTGGAACATGCGGAACATGCTGCACGCGCCGGCGCCATTGTACAGGTCCTGCACGGCCCCGACGCGCGCCGTCGCGTCCCACGGGTCGTAGGCTTCCCAGTGGCCGCGGAAGACGGCGACGTAGGTGCCGCCGCCGCGGCCATACCCGTCCCGCTCCCACCGCTCCACGGACCCGCCGTCGACATGCGGGCCGAGGGCAAAGGTCGCGTCGCCGGGCTGCCGGATGCGTAGGCGGTCAGCATACGTCAACGGCTGCATCGAGATGGCGGCGTCGGTCGACGCGTGCCAGAGCTCGCGCATCAGCGTCGCCTGCGTCTTCAACATGTTGGGGTGCGCCCGAGCCCGGATCTGTGGGGGAGACCAGTAGAGCTCGTAGACCTGCGGGTTATCCGGTGGGAAAGCTGGATTTATGCCGTGTCAGTCGAAGTCAAGTGACTATGAAACAGAAAAGGGGGCTTGGGGGATGTTCACACTTACCCTTGGTGGACGGGTTCCTGCGCACGTACGCCTCTATCTCATCTTTGTACGCCCTCGCCTCCGCCTCGTCGACGACGCCCCGAATGACCAAGGCGCCCCTCTTGCGGATCTCGTCCCGCAATGCCGTTACACCCGCCTTAAGGTCCCGGAACTCGACGATGGGGATCACGGCAGGCCCTGCGGCCCGGACGACCTCGTTCTCCTCCCGCAGCGCGCGCAGGAGCCGGCCCCAGGACCGCGTGACGGCGTCCTCGTGCCCGGCGACGAGGTCCCGCTTGAGCGCGCGGAAGCGGTCGGGGAGGGGCGCGCGCTCGGCGCCCGAGAGGGAGACAAAGACGGACGAGATGTCTCCCTCCTTCTTGGGCGCGTGGTGGGCCGCGGCCCCGGCGCCCATCGTCATGACGGTGCGGTGCTGAGGTCGGAGGCGAGGGATGGCGGCGAAGCGGGACATGATGTTATGCTATGATATCCCGTGGGACGTATTTTTGATGGTGTGGGTTGAACGGATTCTATGCCCAAGATCACGAGGCTTGGCGGCTGGATGCTGTGTAACTCGGCCTCGCGAAGCTCTCGAAAATAACAAAAGGCCAGCGAGACTCGACCGTGGGCTAACCAGTGCCAACAAGAAGACTCACGTAGGTAGGGTATATCACAAGATCCAAGATCAACAGCTCATGTATGCTCCCCTCCAAGACATAATATTCGCCATCGCAGACGAGCCCATCTGTCTGTTATATCCAATAAGCCGACCACCTTCCAGCGCCTTTCTTTCAGCCAACGTCGGACTTCTGAAGACAGCCATCCCGATGCCAGACATGCAGAGCCTTGGCATGCTCCATCGAGCCGTGACGTGAGAGCACCATCGCGAGGGAGGGGGGGGGGGGGGGGATAGGCGGGTAGGCGCATCCCACCCGACATGTTGGGGACGCTCAGGGATCGCCCACATGATGACATGCATCCTCTCCAGGTTTCGAGACTAATCTGGCCTTGGACAAATCACTTTGCGAGAAATGGTCGGGTGGCGGTGGAGCCGATGCGGAACCGGTGCGGAGGGGTGCGGAGGGAACTCCGAAGGTTAGAGGGGAGATGAGGTTGCTCACGACGAAGCATCCAAACAAGCCATCCAGGGCTCTAGCTGCGTGAGCGACTGTGGGACGCGATCATCGCCATATCAGCATGTACGTAGTATATATACATATTTATAAATGTCCGTGGTCCGTCCGACCTGTCAAACAACGCCAGACAGAGGCTTTGGTATTAGACTATCGTACCCAAAAGGAGGCCTGTCCACGCAAACTCCATCAAATCCCCAGCAAAGACCGTCCTTCGTTGCTGGCGTTACGAATGCTGAAAGAGGAAGAAAGCAGAGGGAAAAGGCACAAGACACAAAATAACAAGTCGCCCGCCCACTCCGGCTCTCTGGTGTTGATACATATGGTGAAATGATACAAACGAAATAGACACCATCCCTTCACCTCCTCGCCCCCCGTCAGCTGTCTCCCAGTTGCCCGTTGGCCCTGCGTATCCGACTCACTTCGCTCCTGAGATCGCGGTTCTCCGTCTCGAGCCCGCCCAGCCGCTGCCTGGCCGCATTACGGTCCTGCGAGCGTCCCTCGCGCTCTGCCTTGAGCTTGTTCTCGAGGTCGCGTAGCTTGAAGATCCATCGGTTGTCTGTCGGCTCCCTCTCTGCAAGCGTGCTTTCATATGGGTTGTGGTTGATGGAGCCGGGCGTCGTCGCCGTCACGGTGTGGTTCGAGACGCTGCGCGTCATCGTCGGCGCCCGCTCGCCCTTGCGGCCCTTCCGTTCACGCTCGCGAGGCCCCGTGGGGATGGATGGCGAGGGGCTGCCGCTGGCGGGGTCGGGGACAGCAGCGCTGGGATCGTTGGTTGCCGAGTAGGCGGCCCGGGTTCTGACATCCTGGGCAGTCCGCAGCGTCGCGTTTTCCACCTTGAGCTGGCGGTAGGCGTCCTCCAAGCGCGACATCCTGGCCTGCTCGTACGACCCGAGAGTCCCCGACGTCATACTGTTGCGGACAATGGTCTCTAGCCGCTCCAGCTTCTTCGTCCGAGCCTCGAGGTTGGTCTCGAGACTCTGGTACTCGCGCCACAGGTCCCGCTCCACACCCTTGATGCGGGACGAGAAGCCGCCAACCATCGTCTCGATCGTCTTGACCGCCGCCATGAGGTTTTTGCTGAAGCCGGGCAGCATCGTGGCCACGGCCTCGAGGGAGGGCAGGGCACGCCCGTTAATGAGGCTGTTGTCGTGAGCCCAATCGGTGCCGCAGAGGGCCGAGAGCCTCGTCCACAGCACCAGCAGGAGGTTGTTTCGCTCCGTGAGCTGGTCCTTCAGCGACGTCTCAAGCTGCGACATCCTCTTCTTGTCCTGGGCGCGCGCCGACTCGAGCTCTGAGATACGCTGCTCTTGCGTGCTGGCCGTGTTGGACACGTGAACGTGCCTCGTCTGGAACGTCTCAAACTGATTCCTCGTCGTGCGGTGCGCTTGCCTCTCCTTCTCGAGCTCTCCTGCGAGTTTGCGGGCCTCCAGTCCGTGGGATTCGAGCAGCGCGTCACGCTGCTTGATGAGGCGGTCCTTCTCGACGAGCGACGCCTTGGTGGTGTCCAGCTCGCGGACCGTGTTCTCGAGCTCACGCTGGAGCTTGGCAATCGACTGGTTTTCCCCCCCTCGTCAGTGGCACGAAAAATCAAACGTATAAAGCCTCGTGTCTTGCTCACCTTGAGTAGGCTGGAACGCGTCCCGTTAAGATCGCCCAGTGCCTCCCTGAGATTGTTCTCCAGCTCCATGAGCCGTTCCTTCCATTCGGTCGCTTCGACTTCGCGCGAGGTAAGACTCTTACGCAACCTCCGAGCTTCGTCTTTGGCCGCCGACATTTCGCGGTTAAGTTCGTTGACGAACTGCTGCACCTCCTCCTTCTCCTGGTTGGAGACCATCTCGTGCTGCCGGCGCTCCGTCGCGAGGCGTTGCTCGAGCTCCTTGACCCTGTCGCGTTCGTCGCGTAAGCTCTGCTCGGTGTTGGCGAGTGCCGCTTCGAGATCGCCGATGCGGATCTTGTCGCCCTCCTGCTCCTCGCGGAGGAAGGCGATCTCGCCCTGACTGGACTCTTGTTGCACACTGAGTCGCTGCGCCTTGTCGTTGGACTCAAGCAGCTTGCGCTCGAGCTCCTCGGACTCCTTGTTAGCGTCCGCGAGCTCTTGCTCCAGCTGCTGTATCCTGCGGATCTTGGCAGCCTGCTCGTCCTCCAGTCCCACCAGGGCCTCGCTCATCTTACGCATCTCCTCCTGAAGCGCATCAAAGTTTTCGGTCCTGTCGTTGAGCTCGTGCTGGAGTCTCTGGATCTCGTCGTTGCGTTGGTCTGCCTCGCCTTCGAGGGCGTCAATCTCCTCCTGTGCCTCTTTCCGCAGCGCCTCAAACTCCGTCTCCATGTCGGCTTGCTCCGTGAGCGCCTCGTCTCGCTCAGCCTGCAACGCCACAAGGTCGTTCATGGCGTTGTCGAGGTCCTCCTGGAGGGCAACGGCAATTTCTTCTGCCTCCCTCTTACCCTCGACTGCGGTCTCAAAGTCGGCCATGCACCCCTCGAGCTCTCGTTGGAGTTCCTGGTTCTGCAGTTTGAGCTCACTGATCCTGTCGCGCGTCTCGGCGAGCTTGTTCTCAAGCTCTTCGCGTTCCAGCTCGTCAACCTCTGTTATTTGAGTCCTGCTGGCGCTCACGCGTGACATGGACCTGTGATGCGTACCGGCCCGCGATGCCGAACGATCCAGAAGAGAGTCGATTGTCGACGGCGCAGGGCCTCCCCGGCGCTGTGCCATCTTGAGATCTTCAATCTCCTGGTAAAGACGCTCCTTTTCGCGGTTCCTCGACGTAAGCATGGAAGTCTGCGCGCCGACCTCGCGTCGCAGCTCGGCATTTTCGTGCCGCAGCTGCTCACTCTCCCTGCGCAGCTCCTCGACCAACGTGCTGGCGGCACTGAAACCGCCGTTGGTCTCGTGGTCTCCCGAAAGGCCAGAAACAGGGCGGCTGGGTGACGTCTGTCTGGGTTTCTTGGTGATGTTGTAGATGTTGGTCGTGTGGTGCAGGCCGCCGTGGCTGCTGCTCATTTCCTGCTTCATGCGGAAGATTTCGTCGCGGAGCTTGCGGTTGTCTTCGTCAGACTGCTCGCGTCGTGCTGTCTCCTGCTCAAGAAGATCCTTCCAGACATCCGCCTCTTCCTGGGTGCCGAGGTTACCGCTCGTCCTCTCACCTAGCGACCTGACAACCTCGCTCAGCTTACGCTTCTCTGCCTCCTTTGCCATGCTGTCGTTGCGAAGCCTCTCTATCTCGGTGACGTACTCCTCGACGCGCTCGCGCAAGTAGATGAGCTCCTCCTCGCGCTCCTGGGCGTCCTGATCGGAGGAGCTGTCGTTGGACGAGCCGCCGCTCTTGGCTGTGCCGGGTCGGTCCTGGTCCTCCTTGAGCTGCTTCTCTAGTTCCTTGACCCTCCTCCGCAGTGCCTTGTTGTCGCGTTGGATGACGGCGAGGTTCGTCTTGAGCTCGACGTTCTCCGAGATCATCTCCTTGACACCCTCTTCGGACAACTTGTCGAGGCGGTCGCTGAGGAACATGACCTTGAGTTTGAGGTCGAAATTCTCCTTGGACAGCCGCTCGATGGTGCTGCTCTGCTCCTTGAGCGTCAGGTTCTTACCAGACCTGGTGGAGGCGCCGAGGGGCATGTCCGAGGGTTTCCTGGGCGTCACGAAGCCGCTCTTCGTCCTGTATTCCTTGGCCAGAGACTCGGGCACGTGCACGTTTCTAACGTGCCGGGCGATGACGGTGTCGGTGGGGGCAGTGAGGTTCTCTTTGGAGGGTTTCGGCGTGGCGAGGAGATCCTCGTTTCGCCTCGGCCGCCGTGGCGTGAAGAGGTTCTCGGCCTCTTCGAGCGTCTCGAGCTGGTTGGGCAGCGGGTCCGGGTCGTCCATGCCGGAGACCATGCTGCCCATGCTCACGGAGCGTGACAGTATGCTACTGAGGCTGCGGGGCAGGCTCGAAGTGGTGGCAGCGCCGGCCGAATGCATGGCAAAGTCGACGCCCAGGTTGCCGGTGCCCTCGCTCTCGAGATCATCGTGGGTATCTGGGTTGGTGACGAAGGAGGAGACGGAGGAGCGCTGGCTGGTGACGCGACTTCGCAGATACTTGGGCCGCGTGCCATAGCTCAGGGCATGCCCCGGTGTGCTGCCGGCATCGACGGGGTCGCCACGAAGGCTTCCATCGGACCGTCTGCTGCGCAAGGTGGTGGAGGCGGAGCCGGTAGGGGACTCTGCGCGAGAAAAGGAAGTGTCGTCGTCCGTGTGCTCGGCCGGAATGGGCGCCAGCGACAGCTTGTCGGTGCGGCCGCTGGCGCTGGACAAAGCCCTGGAGATGGTGCGGGCGGCGGCGGCGGCGGCGGGCGACGAGGACATGTTTTCGAGAGAGGATGTCGTGTTGGAGACGTCGGCGGAGGCAGAGTCTTGGGGCCGCAGCTCAGAGAGGTTGTTCATGTTGGACATGGCCGAGTCGTCGTGGTTCGCTTCGGGCCTCGGCCGGGGGATGGGATTGGGGCTGGCAGGGGGTTGTCTCGCGGGTGCAGGGGACCTTGCGGACGAGGCGGCGCCGTCGAACAGGTAGGTGTCGTCGGTGCCCTCGTGGGTTATGGTTGGGATGGGAGAGAGGCGGGAGACGAAGCTCGACTCGACGTCCTGGAGATGGGCGCGGACGGCAGACTCGGCCAGGGAGTCGCCATGACGAGAGTCGTCAAAGGTGGCGCCCTCGACGAAACTGGTGTCGGGGACGGCAGAGGTTTGAGGTCGTGGGGGAGGGAGCATGGATTCGTTTGA